AAGACAGTCGCCCGGTCAGGTCCCGCCGTTCCGATCGATTTATCCTCGACGGAGCCGTGATTAACGGAGCTTAGAGAAGCTACTTTCGGGGGTCGGGGGGCACATCGCGTGCCCGTGGGTTTCCGTCTCGTGTCCGCAAGCGGAACTCCTCCTGGAGGCGGAAACTCGCCGGTCGAGCCAGGGTTCTCAATGCTCCTTCTTTTCGGCCGAACTCCCGGAAAGTAATTTCCACCTGGAAGAGACACCCCGAAATATCGTGAAATCCGAAATATTTTTGAGGTTATACGACCATAACCTATACTATACCATATGACTAAATGACGATTAAACCGAAAAAAAAAAACGTCAAATCTTGACGATTTTCGAGGTTATGTGACCGTAAACTATAGTATACTGTTACCGTGAATGACCGAAATTGGAGAATGTCGACTTTCACCGGTGAATGTCAACAGATACCAAATACGTCGGTGAAAGATCGAATATTTCATTACATTGTTGTACATTCGGACCCTCTCCAGTGTGTGTCTACAATCACACACCGGTGTAAGTCAGAAATAAGGGTATTTAGCAAATATTTCGGACATACACGAAGCGACTATGTGAATGTTAACATTCACCGGTGAAAGTTGACATTCTCCAGATTTCGGTGTTTCACCGTAACAACTACATGACGATTAAAGCGAAAAAAAAAAGTCAAATCTTGACGATTTTTGAGGTTATGTGACCGTAAACTATAGTATACAACATGAGAATAAAACCGAAAAAAAAATAAACAAGTTCCATGAAAGACTAAAAATATTGATATACGATTAACGACGAGGGAAAATGGATTTCGTCGAAAAATGAGTGAAATTGATTTTCTTTTTCGAATTTCACTCGCTTATCTCTTCCTGATAAATTCCCGTGGTAAAAATATCGGTTCGAGGTCTAACGAAATGTATATCGCGACTCGCCCGAGGAAACACTCCCGACCGGTGCGTTTTCTCCGGGAACTATCCGGGAATCCACTTAACCGACTCCTTCGGTGGCTCGTAAAAGGAGGAATAATTCCCTCTCTTTTGTTCCCGGGGGATTTTTATCGCCCCGAGTTCAAAAGTCCTGAGTGGGATCAGTGGGAACCACTACCAGCCGCGGTCGCGGTTCATTTCTCCGGTCCGGTACCGGTACCGTACCGGTTCGCGGCACACGCTTTGCCCATTCACATTCCTCTTTCCCACCCTGCGGCAAGGAGGCGGAAAAGGGGATGGAAAATGACCGATTAAAGACCCGAGGTTCGGAAAATCCGTGTTCGTGCCTAAACCGAACGCAATAAATAGCTTCGAATCCATTTAAACTGTATCCGAACGGCGCGGGATAATTCTATACGTTCGATTTTCCATCCCTGAAAATAAAGAAAAAAACTGATAAACAATTAGATGTCCTCAAAAATATTAAAAAATCCAGGATATCCTTAAAAAAATCAAGGGGATGCTTGTAAAATTATGAAAATATCTGTAGAAACATCAGGATATGTTTAATAAAAAAATCAGGAGAGTACTGATGTCGGACGGATATTAAAAAATCTTGAGAAATTTGAATTTTCCCAGGAGGAGGGTTGGACGGGGGTGGAGAGGAAGGGGAGACAGCGTTCATAGGTTAAACCACTTTTTCCCGGTTCGGTGCCGGTTCGGGAAACACGCCTTGGCCATCGACATTTCTCTCGACCACCCCAGGAAAGGGTAAGGGCGCGCCTCCCCTCGGGAGAGGGTGGGGAGGGAAAATAGCCAATAGACGGCCATAAAAATCACGCCACGGGATATATATCGATTCCCGCAGGGAACCGACGGGACCAGATTGGGGCCACGGGTCGCGTATTGGATCCTGATTCGAGATAAATCGAGAATCGCTCCTCGAGGGTCTCGACGCACGTCGGGGATCGCTCCACGTAACGAGCTCGCGTCCTGTAGGACACGGGACTCCCCCACAGGACCTCCTAACAACCCCCCGAGACGCACCGCTTTGTCGTCCCGTTTTCGGGATCCTGCTTTTCCGATCGTCCGATCTGCCCCAGGATTCCAGGACTCCAGGATTTCCTTTCCCCCTTTCGATGCGTACCGAAGGTTGCCTAACGACTCCCTTTCTAGGGAAATCCATCTAGTTACTTTTGGCCCCACTTACGTCGGGGGGTTGATTACGCTCGCGATCGCGCAATCGAAGGTCCAATAATGGGAAATCTCGGTCGATTCCGTCGGGACTTCGGGTCCAATTGAAACTCCGTACGGGGCAGGACGTCTAATTGGCCCTTTCGTAACACCCTGGGACTAATTACCAAAAGGACCGTCTCTACGTCGGGCCACCGAAAGCAAACTACTTAGGGAAACAGGAAGTGTGGCTTCACCCGATAAACGTACCGATGCCGAATGCTCCTTCATTGAGCTCACAGAGCTCATACCCAAATTACGGGATGAATAGGCAAAGTGCTGCCATGTTCGAATCGGAGCACTATACCGTGTTTAATTCACCGGAGAGAAGGACAGAGTGCGGAGCCGGAGAGGGAGGAACGGAGGGAGTGAAACGTGGAGGCAGAAATAAAGAGAAATACAGAAACTTCGCTAGAGGACTTTCAATTCCCCAAATCCATACCTAAGGATTTCGCAACTTTCCAGGGATTTGCAAATATTTCAGAGGATATGAAAGAGTCAGCCTATGTATATATATATATATCTGAAAAGTCAAATCGTTGGGGAAGGTATTCTCCCGAATTGGGTGTACCGATTCGTTTCAAATTTCACCACGGGAATATGGAGGCTCTAAAGTAAGCCCCGAAACTCATGAAATTTAATTTGTCATAAAAAATGTATTTACATATCATGGACTTGAACCAACATGGCGTGGTCCGTGCACGTTTTCGATGTTTCACGCTTCTTGGAGGGTTAGAATAGAAAATGAACGTATTTCTTACTTAGAAGAAAAATTTTCCTGTATTCTCCTACGTTAGACCTTTCATGGAAAAATAAAGTTTATGCCATTACGTGCAGTACTTTTTGAGAATAAAAAAAAAATTGTTCGCGCGAAGGGAAGTCGTGGACGAGAGGGGTGAACTCTGAAAAGGTGCTCCGAAGAGACGCCACGCATGAGTCGCTGTTAAATTGTCCAGAAGAATCATTACAATATTTAATTCCATGATTTTCACATGAAAATTAAGGTATCCTATCAGGGGGTCCAAACAATTTTTCCTTAACCCCCCCCGGATTACCTTTGAAAAATAATTGAATTAAAGGGATTCTCTGCGCGAAAGAAAGTCCCTGACGAGTAATCGAACCTTGGGAGCGCTTCATGAAATTCCCCCGCAAGAACGCTAAAATAATGAAATCCTCCCTTATTAACGGGAGAAACATACGCCCCGTTCCTTTATCCCTAATTTCCCCAATTTGCCGAGAATCTTCCTGGAGAACGGGGGAGAGGGATTTTACGTGGCGCAGTTTTGATCGCTCGACCGTGCCGGGGGTGGAGTGCACCCCATTCGTGCAAAAATCCCTCGCGTGAGGGATTCGCGGCCCTTATCACCCCATCATACAGTCGGGACGGATCAGGCCGAATTTCCGAAAGAAACAACTCGCGCCGTTTCCCGGGGGCACTTCCGGCGAGAAGCCGAGGACGTCTGCGCCACCCCCGGGACGGGGGGAGGGAATTCTTGGCGGAATTCCTCGGCGTGCTCGGCCTGCGGGAAAAGATGGCGGGTCGACGTCTCCCTCAGGTGGGTGTCGGGCCGATTTGCAATGCAAACGAGAGGAGGAGATGCAGGGGCTCGAGGAAGGCGAGACTCGACGCCACCCCTTTGGTTCGCTAAGGCAGGGATGTGCTCTGCGTGCCTCAGTAGCGGTGCGCCGAGGCGTCCCCGAGTTTCCCGAGTGCGACTCCCACGAAAGAGTATCTACATCGAAGCTACATCTCAAAATAGGTCACTTTCGGCCCTTTCGTATAAATGAAATGTATGTAATAGTGTATGAACGACTTTATCGACGCACCCTTGCCGGGAGGTAACCCAGGAGTTCCGATGAAGAGAGGAGCGCGAAAATACCGGACGGGGGTCCAGGACCTCCAGGAAGGGGTGGAAGACAGAGGGAAAGGGGATGCGCAATCTCGACACGATCGGCAAACATCACAGCTTAAATATTTGTACCGAGGATATATCGGCAAGGACCAAGGTCTCAGTAACAGACGGTCCGACGTATCCTCGAATCCTTCGAGGGGATGAGATCCACTCTCAGAAATGTTCTGGACGAAGAGCGATCCCGGGAAGGGGGTTGCTTTTCGGACCCCGGCCCCGGCCACCCCCTCCGATATTTTCAGGACGTCCTTAGGATGACTTCTTCGGCGATCTGGAAAGGACCTTCGGGACGAGGGGATTTTCCGGGCGATCCTGCATCCCCCACCCCGATTCACCGGAATTCATCCCCTGGGATCGAGGACCCCTGTTTGCCGAATCTAGGGGTAATTAAAAGAAAGCGACCAGGGGTATCAATTCGCTCGGCACCTTGAAGGGTTCCTTCTCCGATATACTTCGAGTTACCCTTCGTCAAAGAAAGCCATTTAGATTTTTCGAACGCCCTCGTGATATGCTGCCGCTGGGTCATGACCCAACTTTCGCTTAAGGGTGGATACCGTTTTAATCGTCATGGGGTTAATTTCCTTTAAGCCCTCGCGAGGAAATATGCAACCCCCTGAAGAGGGATTATCGACCCTTGGTCGCGGCATTTGTGCAGGGAATTCATAAAAAGAACCCTTTAGTTCCTTACGAGGCAGGACATGCAACGCGCCGTCGACTTTCTTCGCCATTCGGCGAGCCCAGAATTTCGAAAGAAGAAAAATAGTAAAAATTCCCCCTGGACCGTGAGAACTTCTCATTTCCAATTTTCTTCCAAAGTTTCATCTCTGAGCTGCTCGTAATCTCATTTTCGGGCCTCGGGAAATTTTACCATTTTTTATTCTCAGCGGTGGAAAATTGATCTTTCACTGACCTTCCCCACGCCGGTGAGTTCCTTGACGCCTATCCTGCGCAGTAGGGCGGGAGGCGCAGGGGGTGGCGATTTCAGGAGAAGAGCTGCATATCCGTTTGGGAAAAATGGCTGCTCGTCCTGGCCGATGTTCTCGTCGCCGGATCTTCGTCTCCGGTGAGGACTCGACGAGAGGTTCAGCTTCTGCGCGGCCCTGCAAAAGGCAAACGTCAAATCGTTAGTGAAACATAGGAATATTAATTAATAATATATAACTGCTACTTAAAGGTAGGAATTTATGGGACGATATTTTGTCTAGGGGGGTTGAAAATTGGGAATTCACGGTCAAGGGTGGCCACCCCCTCGACCTTGGGTGACAAATTCGAAGGCGACGACCGGAAAGCAACCCCATCACCGGGTGACCCTTCTGCCCGTGATCGAGGCGTAAAACAAACCATGACGTATTCTGATAACCCGCCATTTTTTACGGGCCGAGGTAAGGGGGGGAATCGCACCCTCCGGACTTCCGGCGGGGGGAAAGAGAGGGCGCGAGAGTCCGCCGGTATTTCCAATTTCACAGAGCGTGGGTTAACGAGGTCCGGGGGTTGGAGTTAGGCACCCCTTCGGCCCCTACTGGGTGGTAAGTGGGTGGCGGTGGGTGGGAACGGGCGGCCCGGGTATCGGGGGTGGCGGTGGGTGGAAAGTGGGTGGGTCCTGCCGACGAGTCTCTGCTTTAAACCAGAAGCACCCCTCGCCCCCGGGGGTTCCGGCACATTACTTGCTCTGATTACCGGCCCACCCTGCGGAGAGTATGTCAACCCCCGAGACACATACCTTCCGGGGGCGTTCGCCCCCACCCACCCCTTCCGACACCCCACCTCCGCGAGGGAGATGCGATGAATGCGTTTTTAATCGTCCCCGCTCCCCCTCATCCTCAACCCTTCTGGTCACCGACGTTCACCCTTAAACATACCCAGAAAATCATGGCCCTTAAAAAAATATTTTTTTAACATTCTCAAGCGATTAATCCTTTTCTCTCGTTGCTCAATGTACTACCATTTAATACCAGCGACGAACGAAAAAGAAAAAAAAATAATAACGTGCCTTTTGTATATCTTAAGAAACGGAATTAAGCACGTGGGTTAAGGGCATTCCATAGTGCCGTGAGACCGATCCTTGATTTCAGCGTCATAAAGGTCCTGGATGAAAAAACAAAAATCTCTCCGTAATGTCGGAGAGGGCAAACCCAGGGGACCTCGCGTTTTCTCAAAATGCACGTCCACTTCCGGTTGGATGCGTCGAAACTTGGGCTCTTTATCGCCCGACAACGAGATTTCTGCATCTCGGTCACAGCCGGGTCCTTAACGAGGGCGGCGATTCTTCACCCCCTTTCCTTCCTCCTTCCGTCCGTCACAGGGAGGTTTCCTCGTTAGAAGCTCGTCGGGCCCCTTTCTCAGGGGCGTTCAATTATTTCGAGTTCCCGCCACCCGGAAGTCTATATATATACATATATATATCTCCGTATATATGGAGCGGAAGAACCAGCAGGCGAGCAAGGAGTTCCGGTGACCCGCGAAAAAAGGTTTAAAGGGAGCTCTCCCGGGGAGTCCTGGATTTTTAATTACCGCCGAGTTCCCCCGGGACCTCGCGACCGGGAAAAGCTCCCGGGGTGCGAAACCGGAGGCGAACTTTGCTTTTCGGCGTGCCTCCCGTGGGAGAGAGCTTTCTTGGGGGGGGAGGGGCTTCCAGAGCTTTTCCGCTTTTCCCGCCTCTCTCGTTGACCTTTTTTCTTTTCCCTCCTGTTCTGTCGCTTTTCTTCCGTTTTCCCCTTTTTCCCTTTATTTATTTCGAAAAGTCCGTGCTTCCTCGTTCCCGGGAGGAGGAGGAACGGAGGGAGGAAAAAGGGGGAAAAATAAGGAAAATGCAGCCGGCCACTTTGAAGCTCGCAAGCGAGCTTTGAGGCTCGCACGGGAAATGGCCGAGAATTTAATCCGCGGAGGGGGAGGCCGGGGGAGGGCGACTGCAATTTCGGGAAAATATTGCAAAGACGCGGCCTTTAGGGGCCGCTTTTCCGCGGGACTTTTCCCCCGGGAGCTTTCTTTATGGCGCTCTCTCTCTCTCGATACCTACCTTCTACCTACTTTTCGATTTTATTCCCCGTCCGAAGTATTCATTCCTGGACCTTTCGAACCCTAGAAGTCCACCGAAGGAGGTGAACTCCCCTAGGGAATTTCCTTGCCCGCAAAAACCTCCCCTAAAAATTTCAAATGACACGTTAAACCGAAAATGGATATCCCACCAGGGCATTCGTAATCCCGAAATTATTCTCGCAATTTCCCCGAATGAAATCCAGGATATATATAATAAAAGGCATGAATTTTGTATACCCAAAACTAGGAGATATGAATATTAGGGAAAAAGATGGATTATCGCCACCCCCCGATTATCGAATCCAGCCGTTCGCCGGAATTTCCTTTAGCCTCCACCTGCCGGGTAGAAAGAAAAATCATATTTCAAGCCGACCACGCGTTTCCCCTTGTGCGGGATGAGCTTTCCCTCGGGGGAGGGAAAAGACTCGAAGACATCAAGGAGGAAGACACCAAGATGGCGGATCGAGGGTAGGCAAAGGAGGCATCCATCACCCCCCGAAAGGTCCCTACGACTCGAGGAGGTCCCGGGAGGCCCTCGGGAGCTTTCCGAAAAAAGCTCGCCTAACTCAAAATCCATACTCTGAATTATTGAAACGGCCGCCCTCCTCCCCCACNGACTCCCCTTTGTGTCCGATCTGCAAGTCGAGATCGATCCCTCGGAGAACTCGAATTTATGCCCGACGAAAGACAAATTCCCCAACCATGGTGCGGCGAAAACGCGCAAGACCCAGGTGCGTCCCCGCACGTACGCGCAATCCGCGTATCAATCTTGCGGAACGACCTTATCACACCTTATCCTTACTTGCATCCCCGGGAGCCACATGGGACGCCGTACGCAATTTGCATTTACACCTCATATTCTGCGGGAAAAAAAATTCCTCCCCTCGTAGCCGTATCTCGCGCGATATTAAACTTGATATTAAAAATATCCCGATAATAATAAGAAAAAAAAAAGGAAGAAGAAATGTTTATGAAATTTCTATTGAAAATACATCTCACGAAACGTCGGTGCATGGATGAATGAAAAACCTAGTTTCTTGAATTCCGTACTCGTGGGAGATTGTTAGGGAATTTCCTCGCGTTAACAATAATCGGGAATAAATGTGTTTATTACAGTATCGACATTAACGCATCCCATGGGTGTTTAATAAATTTACTTCACCGTGTCCAAAATGTCAATACGCGTTTTCGTGATTTATCACACATCTTTGTAAGCTTGCTTGGGGGTCCGGTGTTATTTTTTAACGGCAATGGATAAATAATAACATGTCGGTCGAAGGGAAGTGAATTTTTATCAGGGATCCCGGCCACTTTGGCCGGAGCAGATTTTCCGGAAACGGAAAGAAAACACTGGGAAGTCCCGGCGGGACGGATGGAGAACATCCGAGAGGTCGATAAAGCGGCGGATAAGCGGGCCGCGCCAACATTCGTTCCCGTTGAATCGGCGAATCCCACGGGGAAAGCCCTCGGCCGCCATAACCCGTTCGCCGGAAATCCCGGAGCTAGTATTTTACGGGATTTGGTTTCGATATATGCCGTCGCTTCAAACTTCAAAAACCGTATAACGAGGCGCGCGACGATTCCCTCCGCGAAGTACAAAGGAGATGACAGAGCTCGATGAAATCCCTATGAGTCTAAAAAATTCCCCAGGTACTGTTCAGCACTTAGGGACTCGACGAAGGTGAATACAATGGTTTTCTTAACAAAACAATGGAAAGAAAAAAAAATGTCACTTCACTTTTCAACTACATTTTCACACCCCAATTGGCTCGTCAAGGCGATTTAACGGCGAATGTCCTCGACTTGAATGAATTCAAAGGGGGTAGTTTCGCGGGGGTGGATATTTATCGAAAGGGGAGGGAATTTGGAGATCTTCGCGTTTATCGGCCGCTTATCCCGGCCGCGATGGCCGATAAATCATGAAGACCGCTCGGAGAGAATAGAGGACTGAGGCGAGAGCTCCTAGGGGGTGGCTTTACGGGGGGTGGAAGTAAGGTCTCAGCTGTTGGCTGCTACCAGCTCTGATTGAATTGCTTCCACCACCTCCTTCGACAGGGTCGGGCCCATACGCTCCCCGCAACAACCCCCATTTTCATCCCCCAGCGATGGGGCCACCCCATCTCCATGCAAGACGAAGCAGGCATCCATCGAAACGACTTCCAAGCCTTCGAAAGCTATCGCAAAAATCCCGGACATTCGCAAAGAATCCCCCACATTAAAAAATATCCATACGAATATAAACTAATAAGCAAAATATCAAGAAAAAAAAAAATATATATACACATAAACTGGACTTTAAACATCCAACGCGCTCCATCAGGGAGATCCGCGGTGTCGTTAAAATTTCATAGGGGTGGTCCGCGGGGGTGCAATATTCCGGGGGGTGGTAAGGAAAAATTCAAAGCGTCCCGGGGGTGCGGGATCGCTCCCCCGCCGTAAACTTTTTGACAGTTTAGGGGTGTCTCGCGCCACCCTCCCAAGGGATGACGAGCCGGGTCGCGAGGTTAGGGGAGGTCAGGGGTGGCTCGTCCGGGTCTCGAAGGGGTGGCTCGGTCCCGTAGGTGTTAACAAGCGAAGGCACGGCTGGTGGCGGAGGGCTCATAGATCAACGAGCCGAAGGGTGGAAATACCTTCGCGGGGTGCAGGGGGTGGTTCCGAGGGGGTGACTGGTTAGCATAATGTCAAGGGGGGGGGGGAATTTCTTAAAAAATGTCAGAGCACCCGCCTCAGGGCTGTCTTATAAACTCCCGGAACCCCGGGGACGTCTCCGCCTGGGAAATTGATTGATCGCGTTACGTGCTCCGTGGTAATATTCCTTTTTTCCCCCCCACCCCGCCCCTCCCTCCTCGCCATCGGCAAGTTTTCGAGACAACGGGGGATGCGGAGTGCACCCTCCTCCCCCGGGTGCCAGGTATTATTTTTCACGGGATATCGGGGGAAGCACCTACACTCGAAAATCCAAAAGTGCCCTGCCACTCGGCCGAGGAATTTATTATCACGGCCCTGAGGGGGTGGAGGGAACCCCTCTGTCCATTTTCGCGATTTGGAAAGTCGACCGCGATGT